TCTGCGGACTAAAAGGTCCCAGGTTCGATTCCGGTCAAGGGCATGTACCTGGGTTGTGGGCACATCCCAATAGGGGGTGTGCAATAGGCAGCTGGTCGATGTTTTTCTCTCATTGACATTTCTAGCTCTCTATCTCTCTCCCTTTCTCTCTGTTAAAAAATCAATAAAATGTATTTTTTAAAATAAAATAAAATGAATGTGGGCTTTTAAAATAACAGGTTCTCCTCTAGGAAGTGGTGGTTATTGACTATTTAAACTTGTTTTCTGTATCCTTAAGGAACAAAGGGTAATTTATCTTGACACATGGATTGAATGTCAGTATACCCATTACTTAGAAATGATCAGTTTTTCTTTTTTATGAATTGTCCTGTCACCGAAGGTTGAGTGGAATCAGCATCAGATGTGTTTATCAGGGCTGTTGAAAACCAAAGTGGTCAGGATCACGGAACCTGATGCTTGTTGTCAAAAGAAAATATGCCCTGGTTGGTGCAGTTTAGTTGGTTGGGCATCAGCAGGTGCACCCAAAGGCAGCTGATTCAATTCCTGGTCAGGGCACATGCCTGGGTTGTACAGGAGGAAACCTGATCAATGTTATGCTCTCATTTCTCTCTTCTCCCTTCTTCTCTCTCTGAAAATCAATAAACTATTTTTTTAAAAAGAGAAAAAAGAGCTGAAACCCGTTTGGCTCCATGGATAGAGCATCAGCATGCGGACTGAAGGGTCCGGGTTCAATTCTGGTCAAGGGCACATACCTTGGTTGAGGGCAAATTCCCAGTTGGGGATGTGCAGGAGGCAGCTGATCGATGTTTCTCTCTCACTGGTATTTCTAGCTCTTTATTCCTCTCTGTAAAAAAATCAATAAAATATATTTTTGAAAAAAGAAAGAAAATATGACTGGTAGTGTTACTTCATAGAGCTCTGAAATTGCCTAAGTGTCTATCATAATGTGTGTTGTTAATTATGAGTTAAAATATGGTTACATATTTAATAGACGTGGTTAATAACAAACGTCTATAAAGATTAACTTTATGAGAAACTATTATCACCCCTCTAGGTAGCACAGGAGAATACCACTCCCTTCTTCACCTGTTGTTTTATTCTTTATTTTTTTAATAAACATGTGACGCTTTTAGAATCTAGGAAAATGTCCATTTGAAACAATGAACTTTCAAGTTTTCTGCAAAAAGTCATATGAACAGTTAACTTTGTGATTTGGTGTTTGTTAGATATCTTGAAAAAGGCTATCGTGGCTCATCCCCTCTAATGAGTTCATTTCTAATTGACAGTTAGGAATAGCCACCAGACTCAGAGCTCACTAATGGGCGTTTATTCATTCAATCCAATCATTGTTGACTAATTTGAATTTAGAATATTATCCAACCTTGATTAGTCATTCGTCAGAGCAGCCTGATGGGAGAGGTGAACATGATCGCATGTCGGCAGAAGCAGCCGCCCTGCCCGGGGGAAGTCAGGTCTCCAGTTACGCAGCCAGGCCCGCCAGCATCAGGCCAGGTTTCAGCGCTGCTGCACCTCCAATGAAAGATGCAAGAGTGAAAATTTAAAATAAAATACTCCAGTGTTTCCATTTCCTAAGCCCTTGACTTTAGACTTACTAAAATTTCAAAGCATCTATCCATCTTGGAAACTTTCATAAATGAAACACCAGGTCTATCCTACCATTTTCTTTTTTTCTTTTTTTAAAATATATTTTATTGATTTTTCACAGAGAGGAAGGGAGAGAGATAGAGAGCTAGAAAGGTCGATGACTGGGGATGTGCCCGCAATCAATGTACATGCCCTTGACCGGAATCGAACCTGGGACCTTTCAGTCCGCAGACCGACACTCTACCACTGAGCCAAACCGGTTTCGGCTATCCTGCCATTTTCCATAGCAACCCAAATATAAAATGTACACAACTGTATATTTGCTTTTAAAATGTTCACAAATTTCCTCAAATGTACTAAGAGAAGTGTCTTAGTGAAGATAGGATGATAAGCAAACAAAACATCCCTATAAGATATTCATTGCACGCAGGGGCTCTGTGTTGGAACCATAAACATGGATGCGGGGACAAATCAGACACCTATAACATCTTGGCCCGAAGGTGCTCATAGTTTGATAAAGAAACCAGTCTAATGCAGCTGAAACTTAAGAATAATGTAGAAACACTTTTAAATGTGTTTCTTCCCAATTTTAGAAGTATATTTTCCTACATCTTTCTCAAAAAAAAAAAAAATACATGTTCTGGTAGTTGTTTTATTTAAACTTAAGGTGCTTGGTGCCCATGTTACTTTAGAAGGTTTGGGAAAATGATAAGAATTGGTCCTGAAAATATTCGTGTCGTTATTTAAAGAATGCTCTCTAGAATTCTCTCTTTTGAGAAGAAAAACATGGTGGTATAATCTAAGAGAAAACATGGCGAATAACTAGAAAAATCCTTCTCGCCAGCCCTGGAAAGATAGCAAAGGTAGCAAATCTGTGTGTAATCTCTTTCCACTCCCCTGGGCCACCGCGCACAGTGGTTCTCTGTGCTCTTCCAAAAGCCCATCTCCCTCAGGCAGGCATGCTTGTTGCTTTTAATGGAAGAGCGAGAGCACTCTCCATACCTCTCCAATGAGTGTAAATCCTGTTTATATTCTTGTCTGGCCCGGGCTTATGGCTGCAGGAGAATCCACTCTGTGTTGTGAGCCCACACAGCCTGTCCTAATTCCCTTTTTTGGCCGGGGGAGCCTCCTCGGAGCTCTTGAGGGGGAAAATGGCTCTTTCTTCCTTGATCCCGGGGCAAAGTCAACATGAAAATAACAGACCTAGGCGGCCCGTCCTCCTTCACGTCACCTCCGACTTCTCGTTCAAAGGGGTGCTCGGGGCGGCAGGTGGAGTTATAATTATAGATTAGAAAAAAGCCACCTCAGCAGCTGCTGCTTCTGTTTGTTCCCAACTATAACTGTCATCATTGGGCAAATTTGGCATAAACAGGCCTCCACAAGTGGAAAATCATTTAACCCCTGTGCTCGTCTGGGTGCTCTCAGTGGCCAGAAAACAGAAAGAAAGCCTGACTGTGCACGAGCAAAGGGGAAAACCGAGAGTGCCTGGCCGACCGGGAGGGCCCTGGTCAGGGGGCGCCTGAAGATTCTCTTTCCTGTCGGAGACTCCAAACCAAACAAATAGGTTAGTGCCCGGAGAGGACACCTCTGTGTTTTCTCTCCTCTCTCTGGTCTTTGTTTTTCTGACAGAGCTTAACGACAGGGCTGAGCTGTCCCGTGAGAGAGAGTTGTGTGAGGACTGTGCTTTAAAACGGCTGTGATAGCTATGAAATGGGCTGACTTTATTATGGTCCTCTCCCAATTTGGGCTGAATTCACATCAGACGAACAGACAAGGTAAAGGTGGAAATACGAAACCGGTGCTGTGGCATGAGTCCCATCCTTTCGTAATGCCAATCGCTCATGCCAAAAGGCCCTGGGTTGTTTTTTTAATTGAAATGAGGAATATTAGAGGCTTACGTTTGGGATTACCAAAACAAAAAAAGGTAATACCATCAATGGAGTCCCAGCGTTTTATTTCTTTAGGGAAACAGGCAAATTAGAATTGGACTGTTTTCCCGGCTCGAAATAAAAGCAGGACTTTTTTCTGGTTTATAGTAAAATGGGTGCTAGAGGCTACTTTATACAAGAAATTGGCTATAGGGTTTATTATAATTCTGCCTAAAAACTCTCCTGTATAATTTCAGTCTAAGTCGCTCCCTAAGTCTTTCCTCAGGAATTTCTTGGAGAAAAATCAAAAGGTTTCAAAGAAATCTCATTTTACCTGGGTTCCATGTTAGAGGGTAGCTGAGCAGGAATTTCGAAGATTAGCTTTGGGCCATCTTCTCAAAACCTGTGTGTTTAATCTCTTGGTGAAAAACAATGGAATTCCAAGGAACTCACTGAAAACCGAGTTTTGGGGCCCAGTTCTCATCCTACCCACACTCCTGGGAAGAGTCCTAAATAATGGCCTCAATTTTTTTTAGCTCCAAATGGAAAGTGAGCCATCCCTAAGCAATCTGTGCCACATTTTTCAATGGGAACGTGCACCTTTGTCAGTGTCACTGCAGCCCCACGTTTTGTCTATCTGTTAAAGTACCTAGAGGCCAGCTATGCACCCGGAGCTCCATTAGAGAGACACCCACATCCAATTAAAACCAGCACGAGCAATCCATTAATTAACTTCCCACTAGGGCTTGCTTCTTTTTTTGTTTCTTTTTAAAAAATATGTTTTTATTGATTTCAGAAAGGGAGGGAGAGGGAGAGAAAGACAGAGGGAGAGAGGATCATCGATTGGCTGCCTCCTGCACACCCCACACTGGATCAAGCCCACAACCCGGGCATGTGCCCTGATTGGGAATCGAATCATGACCTCTCAGTTCATAGGTCGATGCTCAATCACTGAGCCTTAGCGGCGGTGTGCGGCTTGCTTCTTTCTAACAATGTCTCCTGATTTCTAAAAAGAGAGCCATACTACCCCTTTGGAAGTTTAAGGGTAAAATAAATAAATACCTCTGTACATACTTTAGCAAAGAAAGGCCCAAAGAATAAGTTTGCTTTTGAAAATGTCGATCAATATAGCATTTGAATACCCCAAATCTTCCTGCGTGTTAAGCAAGTATAGGATCGGTAATATGACAACCTATCTCATATATCTCATTTATGTATTCCAATATTTATGTAGGAATGGCTATGTAACCTAAAAAGCAATACTTAGAAATGAAGGCAAGCTTACAATTGCTGATATTACTCTTTCCAGAGATGGTTTTTCCTCCTTTTTTTACTAAGCACTTTAGCACCAAGATGGTGGTTATGTCAAAATTACAAATTGTGCAAACTGAGAACGGCAAAAAAAGAGGGGAGGTGACTGACTGGTTGATGGTGCGGGTTTCCTTTGAGATGCAGACTTGCCGGTCTTAAATGTGCTTCTTACTTGTCTTTTGTCTTCTTGCTCTTCTAGGAAAAAAGCTATCCACGATGACTGTCACTTACTCCAGTAAAGTAGCCAATGCGACTTTTTTTGGATTTCATAGGTTACTCCTCAAGTGGAGAGGCAGCATCTACAAACTGCTGTACAGGGAATTTATTGTTTTCGCTGTTTTTTACACAGCAATAAGTTTGGTGTACAGGTACTTTCCTTTGCATGTCTCCCTCGGTGGCCATCAAGTATCACGTGAGAATACAGTCTCAAAAATCTGAGCCCTGCGGTGGCTGCTGACTCTGGCGTATGTAACCTCCTTTGCATGATCCTCTCTCTTGCCTTCTCCCCGAGACAGGGTATTTTGTCCACGCTGACCGTGTTTAAGATGGTGAATGGGCTCACACTGTCATGTTCAGGTGGTTCTCATTCCAGCCCCACATGAAGTGATCGTGACGAGGCGTTAGTTGTGCATCAAGAATGTTGCGAGAGGCACAGAATGGAAGAGTCATACTTACTAGCAGATCCTCGATATGTAATGATTTTGGATGGCAAATTCCACAAATGAATAATTTCTGGTGCCTCTCTCAACTATGTCGCTCATAATCTGAATCTGTGATTTGAAAGCTTATAGCAACTACCATTGTAATGGACGTGTCTGTGGCTGGTGTCTATCAGGCATGTACACCTAACCTAGGAAATTCCCTTCCTTTTGCCTGGAGTCCACCAACCTCACCAATACCTCAAAGAAAAGGCCAGCAAACTCAATGATTGTCTTTATATCTTCTGAGCTCAGGCTGTGCTATATTTACAAAAGGGATTTTTTATTTCTTATCACTTCACAACCTGTGCCTGTCAGAATGACAGAAATGTGAGCAATATTATGTCCAAAAAATACTTTTATGACTAAAAATTAGTCTTAATACAATTTTACCAGTATTATAAACTAGATGATCAAAATTAAAATTGATTGCCTACATTTCTTCTCCGGAGGGTATTAAAACAAAATAGAAAAGCTAAAGGTTTTTGAGGCTGTATTTCCACCTTTTTTATGTACATCATTTGTTATTTTCCTTCTGCATACAAATGAACACATTTGTATAGCATTGCTCTCACCTAACATTCTTCCTTACAGCAATGGGACCCCAGTTGAAGAAGAGGGATATTAATTTGGTTGGCTGATAATCATCAAAAGTAAAATAGAAAGGTCTATGTAGCTAACTATCAAAAGCACTAGTTCAATAAGCATATATATTGGTATACATTTTGGCCAAATGTCTCTAATTGGAATGTTTTATTAAAAGCCTCTAATAATTTTTTCAGATATCTCTGATAATAGTATTTTGACAACTTATTTATGTCTTACCTAATCCTTCAGAATATGAGATGATGAAAGACACATGACACGGATTGTCTCAGTTTATTTTTACTAATGTGAATTATTGCTGCTACTGCTGCTTAGAAGAGAATAGCCCTTAGAACGGTTGCATTGTAGCCAGAAATGCTCCATGGAGCTTTAACTTTTGCTCCAATATCTTATTTACACCCCACAAAATTATATGCATATATTTTTTCTAAAAACCAAAGAGTGCTTACACTTATAACAATAACCATTAGTTCAAGTCATTCTTCGTTTTTTGAAGTCCAATTGTAAAAACTAGTTAAAATAGATCCTTATATCTTGATCAAAGGTACACTAAAAACTATTGGCTGAATTTGTCAAAAAAGTCAAGTAGACATGTAGAAAAATATAGACATAGTTTTCTTCTCATGTCTACTAATGACCCTACGTTTTTTTATCCTATTAAAAGCAAATAAATGTACTTAGCAAAAGTCCATAAGACAGAGCCAGAATTCATTAATTTGATTACATCTCTTCCTAATTTTGTATGGATGTGACAAAATAATTGCTGCAGTACTTTCTAACTAGTAAAGTTTCTGTATGTGTCTATTAGTTAAATATTTTTTCCTTTGGCCAATTATTAATAAGAACAACCACTTGGTTATTGATGAAGTACAACGCCAGGTGTTATGTTGTTTTATATCTTATTTAATCCTCATAATATCCCTGATGTAGAGATATTATATCCCCATTTACACATGAGAAAACAGAGGCTCAGAGAGATTTTAAAATATGCTCAACATTAAATCTGTAAGTGACAGACCTGGAATTCGAACCTGGCTTCCCCTAACACCCTGGCCTGGTTTTCTACCATTAAATCCTCTTTGACCATTTCTATTTGAGTATCGGAAACCATTCTGGCTGTTCATCGGCATGACCCGATGGGCTCTGCAAAGAGGTGATGCCTCTCCTGCCAGCTTTTCCTGACTCCAGAATTTCTGACAACTCTTCCAAAGCTGAAGCCAAAGCTCCAAGCCCACCCCACGCCCCATACCTCGCATCCCATCTTTGTCAGACCAGCTCCCATTCCTTCATCTGTAATCTGACTGGTGGCTCACTGTTCCCTCATTATCCCCCCACTTCCTTTATCAAAGTTCTACTGACCAAATAGGCCTCTGCAGCATGTTAACCTGGGCCCAAGGGCTTCCTTTCTCCTTGGGAGCAGCTACCCTCATTCACTGATGCAAATTCATCTCTGTTGCTTCTCTTTCCAGATTTTGATCATTATTAACCTGCCTGGAGACATTCCTTCTGACTCTGAATCTCCTCCCTACAGCATAAATATTAATAATAGTTCCATTAAATGAATTTATGTTTTAACAGTATCGTGAACTTGGGTCAGATCTATAATACAAATGTTGATATTTATATTATGTTAATATAAACCCACTAAATATAATAATAAAAATGTCCACTTCTAATTGTTAAATCTGTTATTTTATATTTTAAATAGTTGCAGGATTTAAAATAAAGTTATAATATCCCTTGAAATACAATACAGAAGATCAAGAATGTGCTGAGTAGCATATTTAAGAAAAAGTAAGATCAAGATGTCAAAATCAGGGTGATTATTCAATAATAACTTAATCACTGTAATCCTCTTAATCAAGATTTTTTTTTCTCTTTGAGTACACGTAATGAATGATTGAAAAACCAACTATTTGATGAGGTATTGTGCTCCAAATCCAATGCATTAATCATATAAAAGTTTAAAATATAAAGTCTTTAAAAATAAAATGTTTAATAAATGTAGTGTCCAATAACATTTATGTAAAAACATTAGTACTGGAAAGATTCAGCTTTTGAGATATATCAGCTTAGTTAGAAAAGAAAAAGTTATTGCTCCTTAAAAAAACATTTTAAGATTATTTGTGCTTAATTGTTTGCACTGAATATCACTTGCAAAGCAGGTGCAGAAGTATAATATAAAGGGCTGTGCATTTTATTTTTGCTCTAGATTGTTACTTACAGGAGCCCAAAAACGTTACTTTGAAAAATTATCAATTTACTGTGACAGATATGCTGAACAAATTCCAGTAACCTTTGTGCTTGGTAAGTATAGGTCACACGCAGAATGCAGCCACACAGCTGTCTCCGTTAGGATGACACCGATGACTGCATGGGAGTGTTTCTGAGCTGCAAGGCATGCCTGAAAAGCCGCCGCTCGCGCTAGAACAAGAATCACCCGTCAGGTTCACCCTCAGGGATGCTTTCGCTAAATTAACCCCAAACAAGTTTGAGGTAATGACCTGCTACTGGACAATGAAGCTTTCTCTCCACTAACCCTCCATTTTCGCTGTCCATTTTTGAGTTCTAATACCCACTTACTGGGAGCTACGGCATTGCCAGGCACAGATTATTATTTTTTTTTTTTCCTGGAGGGCGAAATCATAAGGTCTGGATAACAACGTATTTTTATACCCCAAACCGTAAAGAGGCTAAAACTCAGCTAGAAGCTTCGGCGTTGCGTGTCTGCTCTAAGGAAGGGCTGTGCGGTTTCCCCGCTGTTCCACAGGGTTTTATGTCACGCTGGTAGTGAACCGATGGTGGAACCAGTTTGTGAACCTGCCCTGGCCGGACAGGCTGATGTTCCTCATCTCCAGCAGCGTGCACGGCAGGGACGAGCGCGGGCGCCTGCTCCGGAGGACACTGATGCGCTACGTCAACCTCACGTCCCTGCTCATCTTCCGCTCCGTGAGCACCGCGGTGTACAAAAGGTTTCCCACGATGGACCACGTGGTGGAAGCAGGTACTGTGAATGCCTTTTCCTCCCGTGGGCTCCTCTCAACCTCTATGGGAACCTTCAAAAATTCCTTTGAAAATCCCTCATTCATTCATTCATTCATGAAATATTTATTGATTAACTACTATGTGCTAGAAACAGGCTTCAGAGGGGAAAGTGGTTAGACATGGTTCCTGCCCTCAAAAGGTTTACTTAAGCAGGAACCGGTTTGGCTCAATGGATGGAGCATAGGCCTGCGGACTGAGGGGTCCCAGGTTCGATTCTGGTCAGGGACATGTACCTTGGTTGCCGGCACGTCCCCAATGGGGAGTGTGCAGGAGGCAGCTGATCCATGTTCCTAACTCTCTATCCCTCTCCCTTCTTCTCTGTAAAAAAAATATATATATAAAGTTTACTCGAGGGTTTGGAGGAGGAGAAGCAACAGTCACATGGCCTTTAGGTAAATATGGTAGCTATTATCATCTTTACTTAAACCATCTAGCCCCAGCTGGTTTGGCTCAGTGGATAGAACTTCAGCCTGGGACATGAAGAGTCCCAGGTTTGATTCCGGTCAAGGGCACAAGCCCAGGTTGCAGGCTCAATCCCCAATAGGGGGCGTGCAGGAGACAGTTGGTGGATGATTCTCTCTCATCATTGATGTTTCTATCTCTCTTTCGCTCTCCCTTTCTCTCTGAAATAGATAAAAAAATATATAAATCATCTATAATATTACATTTTTCTACCATTTTACAGTTAATCCATTTTCATAAATATTATTTCCCTTGGACTTAAAAAAAATGAGAAAAGTAGAAAATGGTCTCAGAGAGGTTACAACCTGCCTTGGATTACACAGCACACAGTTGTAATCCAGGCTCAGAACTCCTAAATTAATACTTTTCCCAAAGCAGTAGGAGATTCTGGTAGGAAGCAGCAATGTGGGTTTTATCGAGGCAGGCCCAGAGAGGTGCAGTAAAAGACCACTTCAGTGGGGCTATCATCTCTCCTGCTTCTCAGAGCAGATGCAGTTATCCTACCTGGGCTCCCAGATACACTAAACTGAGAAACAATTATGTTGGAAGATGGTTCTCTTTGGTATGTTAGTATTTAGAGAAAAAGCTGTGAGCTAAACCAGCCTTCAATGGAATAAGGATTAGATGAGATTAAGTGTTGTTGGCATATGCTGAATAAATATTGGTTGTTGTGCTGGATTCTTGTTAATAGAAGTGTTTATTGGAATGGATTAATGAATGTGTACAAGACAAAAGAATCATGAGATGATTCCATTTTAACATTGAGTATGCTCTTAAATTAGCTTGCTGTGTCTATTCTCCTCTAAAATGTCCTTGAACATACTTTTTTTTTTTAAAGGATAGTATTTTTGGAGGGTATTTTTTTCAAGGGGCGGGGGACTTTGCTTTGGTTTGGCTTTGCCTTGTTAGTTGAGAAATATAATGACTAAGAACACAGAGTAAGAGTTCAAATTCTTCCTCTACCACTTACTAGCTATAAGACTTTGTGTGCATTTCTTAACCTTTCTATGCTTCAGTTTCCTCATCCATAAAATGAGTTTATGGTAATTTATAATACACCTATCTCATATACTCACTGGCTTCCTGTGAGGGTTAATCAAATTAACATTTGCCAAGTGTTTACAGCACTCTCTGACACATGGTAAATGTTACAGTTCTCCCTAGAAATAATGAAATCACCTAGCACCGTGTGTCGGCAAACTGCAGCTCTCGAGCCACATGCGGCTCTTTGGCCCCTTGAGTGTGGCTCTTCTACAAAATACCACGGCCTGGGCGAGTCTATTTTGAAGAAGTGCGTTAGAAGAAGTTTAAGTTTAAAAAAATGGCTCTCAAAAGAAATTTCAATCGTTGTGCTGTTGATATTTGGCTCTGTTGGCTAATGAGTTTGCCAACCACTGAACTAGCACAACAGCATAACATAGCTCTTTGGTCACTTTAGAAGACTTGTTTGATGTGACATCCTAGGTCTTCTTGAACTAAAGGACCAGGAGTTTGAGAAAGTCAAGGTAGGAATAAATAAGGAGGGGTGCAGAGGATGTTGTTGGGGTTACCGATGTGAGAAAGTAGCAGGATGCAATGTGCCGTAGTTAAGGATTCAGGCGGATGTTACAATGGCCTGGCAAGAGCACGGGCATATCATGATGTAAAATCAGTAGAAATGTTTAAAAATTAGCTGTCACACCTCCTCCAAATGTAAAAGGTGAATAGTGCTTCCAAATGATCAAGTTGCAAAGGCAACTTGATAACTTAATAATTTTCTTACCCAAACACCTATAGGACCAAATGCAGTAAGAATTACCACATCTGAAGAAAGACCTAAAAATAAATGGGAAAGGTTTGACCCATTCCAAACTGATGAGTGAGAGCTAAAGTTGACTTGGATGAATAAAGGTGATCTTTCGCTAGTCCTGATGCATCCTTGACATGAAGAGAGTGCATTCTGACAGGAACCAGACACCACGCGCAATTCTCAAAACAAAATCTCATCCTCTCAGCGTCACCTTCATATTAAAAGCAAATCAGGAGGAAGCCAGGATGGCTGGGGATGGAGAGGTTTGGTGGCCTCTGCACAGACCTGAGCTCAGGAAGGCTGAGTTATGGCCCGGCAGGTTGCTCAGTTGATTGGAGTGCAGCTGTAAGCAAGAATGGATATGGCCCAGGTCCTCGAAGATCAGTAAAAATTATCACAAATCTTTTCTTACATGAATCTTTTTCCGAGACGATCACAAGCACAGCGAAATCTCATATCTCTATGTTGTATTTCTATTTCTCTAAAATAATTTCCTTCTGCGTCCGTAAGAATGGTGGGAAGAGAGTAAAACTTGAGGAAAGGGCACTCTACTTTTCTTAATTAAAGCCCTGGAATCTTTATGTGAGGTTTCTTGAGCTTCTTGAGAGCCCTTGGGAATTTCTTTCCATGCTTATCGTTAACAGACATTAACACAACTAAGCAAGCTCCCAATTGTCAAGTGGCTGGTGAGATAAAGATTCTAACTTTAGAGGCACTGGCTGGAAGGCGAGCCCCATTTGAGTTTCTGGTGTTTTTTTAGATCATTTAACCTGTGATCTTCTCTCACTAAGTAAAACCAAATGGGTTTTGTGTTATATGGACGTTCTGCCCTGTGGTCTCCTGTTCAAGTTTCCCCTGGCGCATTGCATGGCTCTGGGGCTCCTTGGTCTCTGACGTCTCCAGCTGCTCTGTGTTACAGGAGAGATGATCAAGGGACAGTGGTATTCACAGCGGTGCCAGTTTTCCCTCCGTTGGCTGAACATTTACAGGCTGAGTCAGTCTCCCTGCAGCCTCACATGATGAGCCCAGACAGACAGAATGTCATCCTGTGAGTGAAACCTGACGCACCGCGTGCACTTGCATTACACAGGGGAGAGGGTGCGCAGGAGAGCCAGCCCTCCTTGGATCGGGGCCACGCACGGGAAGTCTCAGCTAGTCTGTGGCTGAGGTCCCCCACAGATCTCTGTTAGGAGTTAAGTCAAGGCCACCCACTCAATGTTTCTCAAAGTGTACGTGTAGACCATGGTCACTGACTTATCAGAGGTACTTATTTCAATGGCAGGTTCCCAGGCAATGGATGGAATCAGAATCTCTGGGGCTTAGGAGCTAGGCACCCACATTTTTAATGAGCTCTCCAGCGGCACTGCAGGATCTGACCCGGACAAAAACGCCAACATGGCCCGCTTGCCATGTGATCCCATGCACAGGGTCGTTGTGTTAGTTGGAATCACTAGAGATCTTCTGAAAATACTGGTGTCTGGCTCTCCCTCCCAGGAGTTAGGTTCCATGGGAATAGGGTGCATCAGTGATTTTTAAAGCTCCCCAAACAATTCTAACATGTAGCAAAGTTTAGGAACCATTGCACTAGATCAGTGGCCGGCAAACTCATTAGTCAACAGAGCCAAGTATCAACAGTACAATGATTAAAATTTCTTTGGAGAGTCAAATTTTTTACACTTAAACTTCTTCTAATGCCATTTCTTCAAAATAGACTTGCCCGGGCCGTGGTATTTTGTGGAAGAGCCACACTCAAGGGGCCAAAGAGCCGCATGTGGCTGGCAAGACGCGGCTTGCCAACCACGGCACTAAGTACATCTATTAACTCCTCAACTTTATCTGCAAATCATCTCAAATTTAGTCACAGAGGGCTAATGAAATTCTTGGCTACCTGGGCAAGTGAGGAGGTAAGAACACTGACTTCGTGTATGATGCTAGCAGTTCCTGTGTGTCATGTGTGTAAGGCAGTGAATTACCACATAGGATCCTGATGTAGGGGTGGGGAGATGGCTGACTCATATCAGGAACACAGAGGGGTTTCTCTGTCTTTGTTCAGCATAGCTGCTCCAAAAACTGATTTTACTCAACCATTTCCTATTTTGAGCTTCTTAAACTGTGAGTTGTAACTTAATATTGGGTTTTAAGTCATTTTAATGGCATGGCTTACAACCAGCATTTTAAATGGAGTGGGATGGAATGGGATGGAAAACATTGGGTAGAAGAGCGAATAGTTGTTTTGTGAACCACATGTATCTGACTGTGGTTCATTGTATAAAATGTCTGACAGACAGCCCTACACAGTGCCTTCACAGTGTGACTCCATCTCTCCCTCAATCTCATTTCGCCTCCTCTTGATTTCCCCAGTTGGCAGGGATTTCTAAACCTCTACCATCAAATTTAGAGGACAGCTGTAGTTGAATCTGGTGGCTTCATTCCATTCATATGGGAAATACAAAGATGAAAACGAGCCAGGCACTTTGCAATGTTCCTGAAAAAGTCATCTCTCTGAGAAGGGCTCAGTTGCTGAATCACAACTTTCTCTTTCCAAAAGAACTGGCAGCAAACCCATTCCTCCCTCAGGTTTTCAGATGCAGAGCTTGTAGCTCTTCTGGTAATAGAGCCTCCTCTGCTTTAAACGCAAGACATCTGTCTCAGCTGCAACCAAGGAAAAATAGATCAAGTGTACAGACAAAATCTATGACCACTGAAATATTGTTTGTCAATGGACTTAATTAGTCCTTTGGCTTGAAGGCAATAAAATTTGCCTTGAAGTAGCAGTACTTACTGCATCAAACCACAATTCAAGTTGCAAACAAATACAAACATGTGTGTGTGCGTGTGTGTAGATTTTTATTTACTTTGATCTGAGATATTAAAGAGGGTTCTTTGGGATAAGCAGTAGGAAAATTGCTGAGCAGAGCTGTACCAGCCAGAAAGCCAGGGGAAATATAGAACAAGAGAGACTCCAGGCAGGTGCAATGGTGAGATAAAATAGCAACGTCAGGAGTATGGATAGGGCCCACGGGAGCGTGTCATGAAGACCAGCATGTGAAGGAGGCAGGGAGTGTGAGGACCAGCCAACTGATTCTGCTGCCAAATGGTAAGAAATCAATACGTCAATCAATAACTTAGCCTGAGAGATGCAAATAAAGACCACCTTCTGAAAAAGATCACCGGTTTCTGGTTAAAATGGCCTGAGGTACTGATGAGGATAACATGTTCTTTGATAGAAAATGCTCTTTGAATTGATTGAATCAGCAATCTAAGCATTTTTTTTCAATTGATTGAAAACGTGATTTCCAAAGACAGGGTTACTTTGGCTAAGATGTGTGTTCCCACAGAGAATAACAAAAATTATTCTGCCTGTACACTCTTGGAGGGCATATTAATATCTGGTTAATCATCCTTCAAAGTATTTGGGCTAAAATTAAAAACCAGCAGCTTTCCTTGCTTTGCATGACTGCTTCCAGTCAGTGGTAAGTGTGCTACATGGTGAAGGGGTGAGGGAGGCCTGATTTCAGCTTTGGTGTTTGTTCTAAATAAACCCTCAATCTTTTTTAATGCTGTTGTTAATCCTCATCTGAGGATATTTATTTTTAGGGAGAGTGGAGGGAGGAAGATAGAAAAACATAGATGTGAGAGAAACACATTAATTGGTTGCCTTCCACACGAGCCCTGACTGAGGCTTGGGATTGAACCTGCAAACCATGTCTGTACCCTTGACCAGGAATTGAACCCTCAACCTTTCAATGAGAGGGCTGGTGCTCTAACCACTGAGAACAATGGTCAGCTAAACCCTCACTCCTCATATTTGCTTTAAGCTAAGAAGCCAAGAAAGGACTTGCCAACAGAATTTGATCCATATTCCTGAATAAAAAATAACTAAAAGTAAAGTTATTTCTTGGTCAAATGACAAAGATTGCAGCCAGTATACCAATGGGAATATTTTTTTTAAAACTGCATTATAATCCCAAGAATATAACTGTTAAGTAATTGATATGAAATGTCTGAGAATAGGTTTCCAAGTAAAGAATGAAGACAGGTCAAGTTCATCTATTAAATTCTTTCTTTTTTTAAAAAAATGTTTTTTTGGGTGTGTGTGTTTGTGTGTGTGTGTGTGTGTGTGTGTGTGTGTTGATTTTTTTGTTTTGTTTTGTTTTGTTTTTTTAGGGAAAGAAGAAGGGAGAGATAAAAACATCAATTGGGTGCCTCCTGCATGCCTCTACTGAAAATTGAGCCTGAAATCCAGGCATGTGCCCTGACCAGGAATTGAACCATGATCTCCTGGTGCACGGGACAACGCTCAATCCACACAGGCCAGGCCATCTATTAACTTCTTATAATAAAAATTAACCATGCTCTGCGAGTCCTGGGTGGGGTGGGGAGGAAAGCATAGTTATCTGGCTGGTGCAACAACTTTGAGATGCACCGAGAACCGAGAACAGAATTATCAGGCTCATTTGATTTCTGAACTCCGAAGAGAGTGCAGATTTCTAGGCATGAGCAGAACCCTTCTAACCTAATGTAAATAATATATTATCTACATCGAGTCTCCTATTGGTACATATTGGCTGTGTAGTTGTTACTCTGTTAGTTTCAAATTCGAATAAACAGAATCTTTTGCCAGTGGGCAGTGATCTTCAAACACAACTATAAGTCCGTGTCAGATTTTCCTGCAGAGCTTGGTAAACATGCAAAAACATGAGCCCATTTCCATGAAATCACCCAGGAAGACTGGAAAGAATGTTGATGCCTGAACCTCACTCAAGGGTCTAGAACCAGGCTCTGGGGATAAGGCCAATGCATGGTATTTTCTAAAAGTATCCACGTGAGACTTTGACCTACAGAGTGATTTAGTAGGTGAGACTGAGGCCCAGCCCCCTCCAAGTACAGGTTTCACAGGAGATTTCGATACCCATAATCCCTGGATCCTATTCTCAAACACATTGGGCTAGGTCATATAAAAAAAATCTACCGTATTTTTCCGGCATATAAGACGACCCCCTAATTTTACAGTTAAAACAGGTTTAGGCCTATATTCGCTGTATAAGACTAACCCCCACTTCCGAGGGTTTTTATGCATGCAAATTATACATGTTCTGTACCCAAAGCTACACTGTGTTCTAGTAAAAAGCCTGCTCAGATTGGCCAGAGTCAGAGAGGCGGTCTATTAAAAAAAGAACTGGTGTTGCCTCGGAAGTGGGGGGTAGTCTTATACAGCGAATATAGGCCTAAACCTATGTGGTTTTTTTTTGTTTGTTTGTTTTTTGTTTTTGTTTTTAAATATATATTTTATTGATTTTTCACAGAGAGGATTGGAGAGGGATAGAGAGCTAGAAACATCGATAAGAGAGAAACATCAATCATCTGTCTCCTGCACGCCCCCTACCGGGGATGTGCCCGCAACCAAGGTACATGCCCTTGACCGGAATCGAACCTGAGACCTTCCAGTCCGCAGACCAACACTCTATCCACTGAGCCAAACCGGTTTAGGCTAAACCTATGTTTTAACTGTAAAATTAGGGCGTCGTCTTATATGCCGGTAGGTAACTCCAGCGCTCTGTGAATTGGTGACTCTCAAAATGGCCAAGTCTCACTTTTACTCTGACTTCTTTGAGCTACAGCAAGACCTCTTACGTAAAGCTCGGTCTTTGTGGTTAGGAGGGAGGATTACTTTAAACAGGATGGCCGGATTCGTACACTGATTAAGATGCTCAAGGATAAAAACCGTGTTACATTGGGGCAAAAGTAGATTTTTATCTAAATGTGTTATCAGAATTTCATAAGTAAATGGTTGCATTGCTGAGACAAAAGTAACTGAAAAATTATTATTTCGCAAATAATCAGTTTAAAAATAAACTTTAATTCAGAAAATGTTATTTATACTAAATCATAATGAACATTTAAAAACCCACTTAAAGAATCAAAAGGGTGCCTAACCGGTGTGACTCAGTGGTTGAGCCTTGACCTATGAACCAGGAAGTCAAGGTTTGATTTCCCATTAGGGCACAGGCCTGGGTTGTGGGCTCAATCCCCGTCGGAGGCGTATAGGAAGCAGCTGATGGATGATTCTCTCTCATCATTAACATTTCTATCTCTTCCTCTCCTTTCCTCTCTGATATAAATAAAATATGTATATTTTTTAAAAGTCAAAGGGTTAAGTACAAGGATAGTCATGGCAGCATTAACTTTAATAACAAAAATTTAAAAACTATGTCAAGTCTATTCAAAAGAAGATCATTAAATAAATATTGTATACAATTAACCAGGATGCAGCCATTAAAAAGAATGACCTGCTCTCTCTATATTACTAAATAATATATTTAATATATAAATGAAAATGGAAGCAAACAATAGACGTGTGTGTCGTATAAATCCATTTGTGTTCTTTAAAAAATTAGGGCTATGTGAAGTTGGTCCGAAGGTTGTGGGTTATTGTTAAGCTGATTAAAATAAAAAATTAGGGCTATGTGAAACTCATGATATTTCTCTGGAAACTGTGTGGCTGGGAAAATAATACTCACTTTCCCCATCAATATTCCTTTGGCCCTTTGGGGGATTTGCACCATTTGAATTATTCCTTTTTTTTTTTTAATAAAGGGTTAAGTGTAAACCATAAGCTTTTCAAATGAATCTTCATATGAACAAACCCTGGTACATAGTAGACATTCAATAAATGTTTGTTTATCAAATAAACCTGCTACATTATTCTTTCTATTACTCAAATCTCTCCTTTCCTTGCTGTGTAGATGGGGGGTGGGGGGGGTAGCTAAAGTTTCACATAGTGCATTATGCATCAGCCCTTACTGAGTGCTAAGTGCGTGCTAAGCATTGTGGGTCTCTTGGCATGTGTTCAGCATCTCAGGTAATTCTACATCTCAGTGAAGTACATATTATCACCTCTCTTTTACACATAAGAAAACCGAGGCTTAGAGAGTTCTCTGCAAACTCAAGCAAATTGTGTTTTACACACACACACACACACAGAGAGAGAGAAGTACCTTTCAAGTAGATGCAAAATGTTGAGAGAATGATGAAAATAATATGTTCTTGTCCTTCCCAAGGAACTTGACATGGAAGCATTTCTGTATAACATACCATAATGCATGGCAAGAGAGAGCCCGTGGTGGGAGCTTTGAGGGAGAGAAATTCATTCGGGGAGGGAGGCTTCACCAATGAGGACCTGATTAATTAAGATTTGGAAGGGAGTGGTCAGGAGGAGTCCTGTGGCCCATGTTTCCACACCATATTAAGTGCTTTGTATACATCATCACCTTTTATTCTTTTAGTCCTAACAAGTCTGAGTATTCTTGTTCCCAGTTTTGGATGAGTAAATCAAAACCTAAAGAAGAAGCCTTCCCCAGATGCTTGGGCCACACTCAATATGGGCTTACTCCCTACTCTGTCAAGGATTGCCAACATGCATTGCCTCGTGTAGTGACACAAAACTGTGTGTTCACACACCGTGTGTGTGTTTGTGCATACACGTTCCTTATCTCTAATACAAGTATAAAGGACTTGCAACAGGAACCTCAATATTTCTTTAATATTCCTCCATTGTACACTCACATAGTAGACACTGAAATACTTATGCCAGTGTATTGGTGCTAAACTAAGTCTGTGTAATCCAGCTATTTTTTATTTTGTACAAAGGTTTTATGACATCAGATGAAAGAAAATTATTTGACCACCTCAAGTCTCCTCATCTGAAATATTGGGTTCCATTCATCTGGTTTGGAAATCTGGCAGCAAAAGCCCGGAAGGAAGGTAGAATCAGAGACAGTGTTGATCTGCAATCATTAATGACTGTAAGTACATCGTGATTCACACACACACACACACACACACACACACACACACACACACACAGACACACACACACGATGCTAATTAGAGACCAAGAGGGAGTTGGATGTGACAGGTTGGACCAGAGCAAATCTGCTTTGCTTAATTCAGAACCTTCAGCTTGCAGGACAGGACAGCACACAGGCTGTAACTCAGATTGATTGGCATTTGGTTGCTTGGAAACTCTGTGTTAAACAGTATTGGGCTTGCAATATGCTCTGCAGGAAAGTGTCCCTTGATTGATTGGCAATGCCTGCCAAGGGTTCTGAAGGATCTGGAGCCCACACAGCAGATTTGCATCCTGGCTCCAGGACCTCCCCAGTCAGTTCCCCAAATTGGAATAGTTCAGGGTTAAGCCATCTTTTCAGATGCTCCAGGAAACAAAATTGTGTTTTTATTCAACAAAATAACCCTGCATTCACCCGAGAAACAAATTAATGTAAGAGCTAGATAGATTTGTGCCATGATAGTCTCCTGCCTGGATTAGGCTAAGAGGAGTGAATGATTTCAAAATAGCTTCTGAATGAATATGAACTCTTTTTCCCAATCTCAGATAACAATTTATGTGCAATAGAGGGGTGGGGGAGTCAATGGATCCCAGTCTTTCCTGCTTCAAAGAAAGATAGATTTTCTGTCAATATAAGCAACCTTATTTGGAGGTGCTGGAGGGTTAGGATAAACTTATTTCTTTTTTCTTAGATCTATGGTAAGCATGTTTTAAAAAGAAAAAAAAAAACAAACAGAAATATCTCCATATAATATACTAAAACTGCTAGAAATGACTTATCTATATTAATAAAAGGGTAATATGCTAATTAGACCCAGAGACCTTCTGAACATCCTTCTGGACAAAGCCACAGAGGCAGGACCGAAACAGAGGTGGTTAGGGGTGATAAGGCCAGGAGGGGAGGGCAGTTGGGGGTGATCAGGCTGGTGGGTGGGGGGCGGTGATCAGGCTGGTGGGTGGGGGGCAGTTGGGGGCAAGCAGGCTGGTGGGGGGAAAGACAGTTGGGGGCAAGCAGACGGGGGGGGTGCAGTTGGGGGCAGTCAGACCAGAAAAATGGGCAGTTATGGGTGATTAGGCAGGCAAGCAGGTGAGTGGTTAGAAGCCAGTGGTCCTGGATTGTGAGGGGGATGTCTGACTGCCGGTTTAATCCTGACCCTTGTGGGTCTAAACCAGTAGTCAGATATCCCCCGAGGGGTCCCATATTGGAGAGAGTGCAAGCCAAGCTGAGGAACACCCTCCCCCCCAAGCACAAATTTCGTGCACCTGGCTACTAGTCCTATATAATAAAAGCCTAATATGCTAAGTATCCAGTCGACCAGTTGGCTGTTCAACCAATCAAGGAATAATATGCTAATGATATGCTAAGTTCACTCAACTGCTAGCTATGACTTGCACTGACCATCAGGGGATGACCAGTCGACAAGTTGCTATGACATGAACTGACCACTAGTGGGCAGGTGCTCTGACTGGTAGGTTAACTTGCTGCTGGGGTCCAGCCAATGGGGACTAAGCAAGATGGGCTGAACATGCCCTGGAGCCCTCCTGTGGTCCCTCCCCGGCTGGCCAACCTCCCCAAAACCTCCTCAGCCCCAATCATGCACCAGTGGGACCCCTCGGGGGATGTCAGAGAGTTGGTTTCGGCCCGATCCCACAGGCCAGGCTGAGGGACCCCACTATTGCATGAATTCATGCACCAGTCCTCTAGTTTAAAATATTAACCACTGCCTTCCCATCACCACTTTGGACCAACATCATTTTGGAAATGATGCATTCAATAGAGTAGGAGGTACTTCTATAAAGTCCTAATTTTTATGAATATTTAATATACATATTCAAATGTGCTTCTTTTTGTACATTGCTAAATGATGGTCATGGCTTGTTTTCAGAATTTTCCTTTTGGGATGGCCTTCAGAACCAATTTACTAGCTTTACAAAGTCCCCTTGTTTTATAGATATAGTCATAAAAGACATAGCCACATTCCTAATCCTACTGAATATTGATCACCGCACCCATCATTTTAGTAAATCATGTTTTCTCTGTTTCTGGCTTAGGAAATGAACCGGTACCGCTCTTGGTGCAGCCTCTTATTCGGTTATGACTGGGTTGGGATCCCGCTGGTGTACACCCAGGTATCAAATACTGTGCACATGACTTTTATTTCTGCTTGCTCCCTCTGGCACTGGCTGTGGGCCACCAGCGCTGTGCTCTCACTTGGGTTTCTCTCTGTTCCAGGTTGTCACTCTGGCTGTCTACACCTTCTTTTTTGCGTGCCTGATTGGACGCCAGTTTTTGGATCCCACCGAAGGCTACGCTGGGCATGACTTAGATCTTTACATTCCAATCTTTACTCTCCTACAGTTCTTCTTCTATGCCGGATGGCTCAAGGTAGCCAATGGTCTCAGAGTCCTGAGACCCACTCTGTAATCTCTGCCATGTGCCAAACTCTGCATGCTGATCCTTCCCAGTCATTCCTGCGTGTGTCCATGACAGATTTAACATTTAATGGCTCAGAGATGTTATTCCTTTTCATCCAGGGATTAAAGTGTCAGGGACGTGGTGAGTACCTATGACAGCCACTGAAGCAGCTCATTTATGCAGAAAGATTACAAGAAGACTCTTTTATGGCTATTGATTTTTTAAGTCTTTGTGCGCTCCCACTAGGATTACAATAATGTAAGTAAAGTAATGACTGTATCTGCGTTGATGTTTTGTACAGTGATAAGCAACTCCGCAGTAAAAGAGAGTAAATAGGAAGCTTTGTATCTTGATTCTGAGGATAGTTCACTGTGATTCCCTGAAATCCCACAAGCTGTCTCACAATATTCAACCCATTTTCAGAACCAGAATTGAGACTCAGAAAAGAATTCATAGAAATCAAAACCAGAAACACCAGAACTCATGACAACATCTGATGTGCCAGTAAATTGAAAACAGGTTAGAACAGTGAGGACAGCTTGTCCAGTCATCAGTGTTCATTGTTCCCATCAGCACCTCCTCCTCCTCCTCCTGGAGGTATGTGTAGATATCAGAGTTCTGACCCTTCCATCTCTTTGGATAACGGCCAAAACAGAAGTACAGTATGTGATGGGGGGCGGGAAATTGGAGTCTTTGGCTGCATTCCGTTAATTGAAATCTAACGACAGTTTGAAGATGGTGTTAAGAACATAGACTTTCCAGGTGTGTGACCTTCCAAAACAGCTGCATGCGGAAGGCATCGGTGAGATCCTCCAGGTTGTGGCAACATTTTCCCTGCAGGTGTCTTTACTTTCATTGATTTGAATCTTAACCAGAAAAGCAATAAATTATGTTGGCATTTCAAATTATTCTCCAAAAAGTAAAGGCACTTTATTCTTTGCAAATGGCAAAAACATTTTTAACCAGATGACAGATTCCTTTTTTTTTTTTTTTAACTTGTACACATTTTATTTAACACATGTTACCCTCCTGACAAGATGCTTAAAAAGTACTAGTTGACTTACATGCATTTCTCAAATTTTCTTCAAAATACAAAAATTGCCAAAATGATGAATTTGATCCCATTGGGAGCTTTGATATATTCAAAAGTCTCCGTGTGTGTGTGTGTGTGTGTGTGTGTGTGTGTGTGTATGTGTGTATGGGGAGAGAGAGAGAGAGAGAGAGAGAGAGAGAGAGAGAGAGAGAGAGAGAGAGAGATGTCTACATGACAGAGAAACATCAGTCAATTGCCTCTTGTACTGGCCCCAACTGGGGAATGAACCTAGAATCTAGGTATGTGCCCTGACTGGGAATTGAACCTGCAACCTTTTGGTGTACAGATGATGCTCCAAAAAGCTGAGCCATCTTACCAGGGCTAGATTCTATTTTTATAAACAGAAAAATTACCAAAATTGGCCCAAATGTTTAATCATTCTGTTCTTTCCCCTGAGTAATGCTGAGACTTGTAGTCTTACTTTGTGTCCATGTGAGGTGTTTGGCCAGCCTGCAAGAAACAGTTCTTGCCTTCTGACAGTCTTTCTAAAATATTAATGTTTTATTCTTTTATTAATTTTTTTCAATATATTTTTATTGATTTTAGAGAGGAAAGGAGGAGAGAAAGAAACACCAATGATGAGAGAGAATCATTGATCACCTGCCTCCTGCACGCCCCCTCCTGGGGATCAACCCTGCAACCTGGGTATGTGCTCTGACAGGGGATCAAACTGTGACCTCCTGGGTTAATAGGTCAATGGAGAACCACTGAACCACACCAGCTGGGTTCTTTTATAAAATATTTTTAAATAAAAATATGATCCAGGCCGGCATGGCTCAATGGTTGAGCATTGACCTAGGAACCATGAGGTCACAGTTCAATTCCTAGTCAGAGCACATGCCTGGGTTGTGGGCTTGATTCCCAGTGTGGAGTGTGCAGGATGCAGTTGATCAATGATTCTCTCTCATTATTGATGTTTCTATCTCTCTCTGCCACTTCCTTCCTCTCTGAAATCAATGACAATATATTTTTTAAAAGAATTAATTCTTTATTTTAAAATATATCCTATATAATAAAGAGGTGATATGCAAATTGACCATCACACCCTCACAAGATGGCTGCCTATGACCAGACCAGCAGGGGGTTAGTGAGGGACAACCAAAAGACTGAACAGCAGGCTGCATGGGGTGACCAGACCAGTGGGGGGGGCTATGAGGAGTAACCAGGCTGGGAGGGTGGGTAGTTGGAGGCAACCAGGTCGATAGAGGGGAGAAGTTGGGGGCAATCAGGCTGGCAGGGGAGACAGTAAGAGGTGACCAGGCCAGAAAAGGACAATTAGGGACGACCAGGCCAACAGGGAGGTGCAGTTGAGGGCAACCAGGCTGGCAGGCGGGACAGTGAGTGGTGACTAGGCCAGCAAGAGGGCAGGCAATTAGGGGCAATCAGGCTGGCATGCAGAGGCAGTGAGGGGCGATCAGGCCAGCCTGGGGGTGGTGTAGGGGGGGAGTTAGGGGCCACCAGGCAGGAAGGCAAGTGAGAGATTAGGAACCAGTGGTCCAGGACTGGGAGGGGGATGTCTGACTGCCAGTTTAGGCCCAATCCTGGGGATCAGCCTAAACCAGCAGTCAGACATCTCCTGAGGGGTCCCGGATTGGAGAGGGTGCAGGCTGGGCTGAGAGGACCCTCTCCCATGCACAAATTTCATGCGCCAGGCCTCTAGTATACATATGAAAAGCCAATCTTAGTTCCATTAAGAGAGAAGTGAGTTTTCTCACCACCGATTGTATCTCAATTTCTAAACAGCTATTTTATCTACACCATCCTAAAACTTATCACTCTTTTCATAGTGTAGAAAATTCATCTAACCTTGTGAACAGTATACTATTCAGATATTTGCTGGAAATGGAGCCTCCAAGAAAATGAAAAAATACTTTTGTGAGATAGTTAATTCGGAGACATAGGTATCATTTTAGTAGTTAAATGTAGACTCTATTACTATATGTGAGACTGATCCCATAAAAGTGAAATTCTGAATATAATAGAAGTAGTTTCAAGACCCATCTAGTCACCCATGTAATTTAAGGAAACCTCCAGACAGGAAAAGTCAGAGAGCCCCTTAGAACTTGCAGTCAATGACCTCAACATGGATGCTGCTAAGAGGCTGATTAATTCATGCCCTGGCTAGGGCTGCTCCTTAGAATAAGGGGGGTGGTGGTTCTCACCCCTGGCCACCCATTTAAGTCTCCTGGGGGTTTTACCCAGCACTAATGCCAGGGTTCAACCTCTCACCCATTAAATGAGAATTTTGGGAGGAAGGCCCAGGCATCACTCGTTTTAAAAGCTCCCCAGGTGATTTTGATGTTCAGCCAAGGCTGAGAACAACTGCTCCAAGTGGTTAGACTTAAATCCTAAAAAATAAATAGGTAGGTTTTCTACCAAATAGTCTCAGAATCTAGAAACTACTAATCATTTAGACCCAATGAAAAATCACTCACACACCCAGATAATAAAAATCAAAGGGAATTACTAAAAAATGAGAATAACAGGTGAATCATATTTGGCATCTAAATCTCTCATCAAGAAGGCTATTCAATTCAGGAGCATGGTAAGAAGATATCATATTGACCAACTATTGTAAGATATATAAGAAGCTACTAAATGTTCCCAGTGGGAAAACTGACGCACTAAATCCTTTAGGGTAAAACAAATTCCAGCTTTATGACTTACTAGCTCTTGGACTCGTCCATTTAACAGTTATGTCCAATAATTATACAGCTCCTTGTATTATTTTCGTTCATTGTGATTTGTCTTTCTTTGCTGTTTCAACCTTCCCCGTGTTTACATTTTGTCTTGACACCTGGGCCTTCAAAAATTCCTAAGAGCACAGGCAGAGCACCCCTCAAAGAGCCTGGTGTCGTGCCTCGCACACTGTCAGGGCTCCTTCCGTAGTCAGTGGTCTGATTTGTGCCTGAAAATCGATTATAGGACTTCTCAAAGCCCGTGGCTTCTCTGGACAGGCCTGCAGAGCCACCGGATAAATAGACCCACTGAGAACCTGCCGTGCAGGTGCATCATTCCTGGTCTGAGAGTCGGGTCTCGTTTGCTGGTAAATATCTGCGTCCTCCCCATCCAGGCTTCATCTGATGGAAGGGACAACAGAAAGCAGAGAGTGAAACAGGCATCCTCTTCAGCCTTCACTCTGAGTCCTCACAGCATCCCGGCTCACTTGGTCTATGTTCTCACTGCAGGTGGCTGAGCAGCTCATCAACCCTTTCGGAGAAGATGATGATGATTTTGAAACGAACTGGTGCATTGACAGAAATCTGCAGGTGAGAGGAGCTTTCCTTTTCTTTCCTTTTATATATATATATATATATATATATATATATATATATATATATATATATATATACATCTATATATATACACACATCTATATATATACACACATCTATATATATACATATACACATACACATACACATACACATACACATATACATATACACATACACATACACATACACATATACATATACATATACGTATACATATACATATACGGCTAAGTGACTGTCCCAATGGCAGCTATGATGAGCACTGACCACCAGGAGGCAGATGCTCGATGAAGGAACTGTCCTCTGGTAGTCAGTGCACTCACAGTAGGACCTACAGGCACCAGACACCAGGCTCACAGCTGGCGAGCGCTGCTGCTGCTGCTGCTGCTGCTGCTACTGTGGTGGCACAAGCTCTCCACCTCCATGGCAGCGCTACCACTCCTCCCTGATTGCCTGCCGCTTCACGCACTGCTACATCCCTCAGGGGATGTCAGACTGCCAGTTTCAATCCGGCCTGCGGGGATCAGGCTGAAACCAGCTGTCTGATATCCCCGAGGGGTCCCAGATTGCGAGAGGGCATAGGCTAAGGTGAGAGATCCCACCAGTGCACAGGGCCTCTCGTTAATAATAAATTACTTATGCCATTTTAAATCCAAACAGATCCTGAATGCAGGCCCTTGCACTTTGGCCCTTCCAACTGTTAGCCACAAAGAAAGGGGGTTTGGCCCTTCAGTATGTTGTCCGAGGTCCTTCTGAAACCTCACAGCTCCTGGATCTCAATTCTGGAGAAATGTAGCCCCTTTTAAGTAGAATTTCAAGCCAGTTTTCTTTTTAAGGTTGTATCATTAACTAGAGGCCCAGTGCATGAAATTGGTGCATGGGTAGGGTCCCTAGTAGCTGCCTGCTGCAGGCCAGGGCCTTCCTTCATTCTGCACTGCGCCCTGGTGGTCAGCACACATCATAGCAAACTATTGAACTCCCGGTTGGTCAAACTCCCAAGGGGACACTTTACATATAAGGCTTAGATAGATAGATAGATAGATAGATAGATAGATAGATAGATAGATGTTATACAGCCTCCCCCTCCTCAGAACAAAACAATATGTTAATGCATTCTTTAATTTGTTTTCCATTGCCCCCCAGAGAGGTTAACAGTGACATAAAGGCAGCCAGAGGCAATCTGATGTGAGTTCCCAAACTCATGTCACATAGGTCCCTGCGTTCAGATGTCCATCAGCTGGACACTGGGAGCCAGGGCCACACTGGCCCATATCTCAGATCCGCCAGCATCACACCAAGGGGACCTCGGCCCCTTCCCTGAAGCATTATCCCACAGAGGTTTTCCATGAAGGACCAGCATAAGATAAGGAGAATGCTCTCTTCAGACCATTCTCTCCCCTGAGAACCACAGCCTGGGGAAAGCCTTCAGCTGGTCTATTTGTTTCAAGCCCTTACTTGGCTCTTACACAGGTTCAAGCATTTCACCATCGGTCACTGTTGGTTCACAAACTGGCCCCCATACAGAGAGGGCAAGGAGAGACTGGAGAAAGAGGCAGGCCGCTCCAGATTGGCAGGCAGCTCCAGATTGGCGGGCAGCAGGTTTAACAAGCAATGGGACACTTACATACATGCCAGGCTTGTCTTGGGTGGTCACCAGGTCAGCCTATCTCCTCACCCACCTGGCAGAAGCTTCAAAGTTTACACAGAGGCCTTCACTGGCTGCTGCAGTCAGGTCCATTGTTCTGATGGCCTCAACAACACATTGCTCTGTCCAGCCTGCATCCCTGAGGGCAGCTCCACTGGGACCAGGACATACATTCCAGGACAGGACAGCCGGGGGAGGAGCCTCCTATTGCCAAGGTCCAGCTCCTGGATCACCTGGCAGTCACATCATCTCCATCCCTCTCTCAATAATCACACTGTCTGTCCACCAGGGAGGAAGCCTAGGCCACTCACCCTGTACAACTTGGATTCCCAGAGGGTTCATAAGTCACTCATGAATTGATTTACCAAATCAGGAGGAGAGACCACTATAGCCCCACGCAGGACAGGGTTTTGATACACTTTTCCAAACAAATACTCAAGGTATATAAGAAACAATATCAAGTACAAGGGTGTTTTGAAATCCACAGAGTGGCATATTGAGGATCTTCAGCTTCCAGTGGAATCTGGGATTTGTGGGTGCTGCCAAGATAGGCAATATGGTGACTCTGAGCAAAGAAGACGGTGCCTCTCATTCCTCCCAGTTAGAAGCAGCTCCACTCGGAGGCATGTGGCTCAATGAGCCCCGTCTGGGCAGCTTCACAGCCCCACTCTCTGCAGCGGCCCAGGCTGCAGCAATTATGAACCACGGACATTTGTATATTCACTCATCGGGTTGTGCTCCATCCACTCCAACCCCCATCCGCCCTCTGAAACGTCTTCTCTTTCTTTCTACAGTGCACACCTGGATGATTCTAACACTGTAACAATGCTTTCAGGTCTCTCTTTTAGCTGTGGATGAGATGCACATGAGCTTACCCAAGATGAAGAAAGACATTTACTGGGACGATTCTGCTGCTCGCCCCCCATATACACTGGCAGCTGCTGACTACTGCATACCCTCATTTCTGGGGTCAACAGTCCAAATGGCGTAAGTACATTTAAAAAAAAAGTGATAATTTTTTGCCATGTTCTCGACATTACTTTCATTACAACTTTCAATTATCAGTATCTTATAAATTTTATACATAATTAACATACCCAATGGAATTGAAGAGAAAAGAGATGTAGTTTCTGGTTTAAATATGGTGTGTGTGTGTGTGTGTGTGTGTGTGTGTGTGTGTGATATTTGGGGCAACTTGCATTTTTACATTGTTTTTGTACCACAGCAAACTTCTCCAATAGTTGTGAAACTATCCTTTTTTCCCCCTGTGCAATTTGAAGATAGTTTAATTATGTAGTCTTTTATTGTTTAGACTCTACCATAATTAAATGCATTTTTAACAAGTGTTTATTGAGCATGTACCATGTGCAGGCACTGTGTTAGACTACTTGGAGACAAGCAAATCTTAAAGAATGAAATGAGTTTTATCAAAAGGTTTCCCTAAGATAATAATTCAACCCACCCTGGCCAGGTGGCTTAGTTGGTTGGAGCATCATCCCGTACACCAAAAGTTTACGGTTCCAGTCCCGGTCAGGCATGTACTAGGCTTTGGCTTTGATCCCTTGTGGGAACACATACAGTAGGTAACTGATCGATGTTCCTCTCTCATATCCATGTTTCTCCCTCACATCCATGTTTCTCCCTCTCTCTTTTTCTCTTCCTCCCTCTAAAAATCTATAAACAAATCCTTGAGAAAGGATTAAAAAAAAAAGATTATAATTCAACCCAACTGTGTTTAATATATAAATCTTTCTCTGTTCCCTGGTTTTAACATAACAATCTGTCCCTATAAACAAGCTTTAAATAAATGGACTGAGGTCTGAAGTAAATTATGCACAGTTCTTGAATAATTTCATTAAATCTGATAATGTATTTGATTTTTAAGAAATGTGTGAGTAGGGGGGAAGTTTGAGTATTTTTGCTGAAGGAAGATGCCACAGTTTCCAAGTAACTTAAAAAGAGTATGGGGAAATTTAGAAAAGTAAGAAGCCTTCTCAAAGATTACAGAAAAAGGAAAAAGCTTGTGGAATTTTTCTTATAACTTTTGGGCAAAGAGTGGCTTGTTGTTCCCCAACGGAATAACTTGAATTTGCATCTTGTAGTTGCCCCTTGTGACCCTTCATTCCCTCCCTCCCACCACCCCCCCCAATTGAAAACTCTTTCCCTAGCGTTTAAAAAGCAAAATTCAACTGAGTACATTTCGAAGATCCTATTGGCTTTACTCAGTGATTCGTGAGCGTTCACTTCACAGATAGAAAGGAGCCCCAAGGAGCTGGATTTTATAGACAGAAGGGAGCAGGAACAAGGAAGTGTTGCAGTAGGCAGCTGAACACATTGGTTATTGCAAGGTTTCCTTAGCAGGTGCAGGGGCCTAGCAGGCAGATTATGTAACTAGTGCTCTCCAGGGGAGTCCAGATGGGCCGGTGGAAGATCCCATTTCTGGGTGATCTGGAACTATATTTAAGGCTCCATTTGGTGATGCGGGGCTTAGCGGAAGCAACTTGCAGCTTGTTGTCTTGTGTTTATTTCTTTTTTATTAAATATATTGGGGTGACGTTGATTAATAAAGTTATATAGGTTCCCGGTGCACAATTCTGTAATACATCATCTGTGTATTGTATTGTGGGTTCACTACCCCAACTCAAATCTCCTGCCATCACCACTGATCCCCCACACTCTCCTCTACCTCCCCACCCCACCTCACACACACTCCAGCTTTGTCTTATTTTCATCACCGTATCAGGATACCTAGCTTCGGTCCTGTTTCTGTAAGGCTTTGCTCTTAGCCGAGTGTCTCCCGGCCCCCATAAGCAGTGACGTGTATGCTCCTCCCCAGGAGCTGCTGAGGCTGGAAGCCCTTCAAGACCCAGAGGAAAGGATGACGAGGCAGAAAGTCAAGCGCTGTGGTCTATGTATAATGAGGCCGGTCAGGAGCCAGGAGATTTGCCCTTTCCTCAAGAACACCGTAGAGAAGGGTGCCTACGCTAGCCTTGTTCCTGCCTCCAGAGAGACTGCTGAGCCTGGGCTCTGCTGTCCAGAGCTTCTTCCAGGCCAGGGAGCTCATACCCACCCTGCCAGTTGCTCAGTCTCCAGGAATAGTAATGTCCTGTTGTTTGCACCACTCAGCATTCTTAGTTTCGTGGATGTCTGGCAACCTTTGCAATTTTGAAAATTAATAGATGCTCTTCTGTGAGTTTGTTTTTAGGTCATTAAATAGGCTTTAACCTTCCCCTCCAGTCCCATCGTTGACTAACGCAGAGTGTTTGAAAAGTTAACCTGTAAAAGAAGAGAACCCAGCACCACTGGTGGGCAGGGGGCTATTGGGGTGCCGCTGGTGAGTCTGCAGGTGCTACCTGTGCTCCAGTTTGAGTGTCTACTTAGTTGTTTTTGGTGATGGTTAAAAAGATATATATATAGATATATATATATATATATATATATATATATATAAAATTTATTTATTTTTTTGTCTCATCAAGTCAAGAGTGGTGATATGTATTTTATTGGTTTTATAATACTTAAGGACGGGAAAGGGGAAGCTGCCCTCTTCCACCCTGCCATTGTTCCTTAAAACCACTTTATGCCTTGTTTGAACAGATCCATAAAGACTCCTTATGCTATTTGCTGGAGGACCGTCCACTTTATGACTTAGCAGCCCTTTCATCAGGAAAAAATTCCCTCAGACATCAGTGGGAAAGAAGAGAGCTTTGTCTCTTCTGGGCAACCTTCCACTATTTGTTACGGACTCTGGGTTTTATCGTTGGTGATGGTCTCCTTTCCATTTGGCTGCTGACAGCTGCAAATCAAATTTGTAGCCCACCTGTAGGAAGTCTGTGGGGTTTGGGGGCTGTTTTTCTAGGTACTGGGTCTCATCCTGCCATTCTTCCTTATTCTAGTTCTCCTGTAGTAGCCTAACTTCATATATTATTGCATTGTTTTTATAAGCCACCTCAAATCCTTTGTAAGATAAAGCAAGATGAAATAAACAAACTGATACATATTCTTGCTCAGGAAAAGAAGGAAAAAAAGACAGGAATCCACTGGAGAATAAGGAAGGCACGGGAGCCAGAGGGGTTGACAGAGCAAGGTCCTAGAGAAAACACAGGAAGGCAAGGGCTGAGCTGGTCCCAGGAGGGGCCTGGGCACCTGAGCGGGAGGGAAGGACCTGAAGCCAGATGTGGTGAGGGGGGGCGGGAGATGGTGCCCGTGTAGCTAGTGAAGCAGTCACCCGTGTGCTCACCACAGCTGATCTTCATCATGTCTTAATCCAAAGGAAGTGTTAACAAGACCCATCTTTCTCTGTCCAATCTGAGGCCAAAAAGCTTGTTTTAAAACTATATTTTATAATTTCTAACACTAAATGAGTGCTGAATTTCTATCTCCCAATCTTTGTATGGAGCATATTAAAAATCAACTTCAGCCGAAACCGGTTTGGCTCAGTGGATAGAGCGTCGGTCTGTGGACTGAAAGGTCCCGGGTTCGATTCCGGTCAAGGGCATGTACATTGGTTGCGGGCACATCCCCTGTAGGGGGTGTGCAGGAGGCAGCTGGTCGATGTTTCTCTCTCATCGACGTTCAAGCTCTCTATCTCTCTCCCTTCCTCTCTGTGAAAAATCAATAAAATATATTTTTTTAAAAAATCAACTTCAGAATAACCATTTTCAATGAGAAAAAAGGCCAGTTGAAAATCTGAACAGAGCATCCAAAATAGAAATTTTTATTTACAAAAATATTAATTTTCATAAATATACCTGTCTTGGGCATCTAATAAATAGTGTTGACTATTCTCTGGCCAATGCTGTCCACTTAATAAACCAGGCTATGAATTAACTGAGCAATGAAAAAAAATCTTTCTGGTTAATCCCTTTTCTCATTACACAGCTGAGATGATATCATTTGAATCTGATTAGTAGTCTTTTGTCATAATGTAAAACACTTTCTGATCTGCTGTTTTAATTAAGGCATCTTTTCATTCGTTTAGCCATGCAGACACTATTAACCAAGATTTTAAAAATGTCTGAAAACAACCAAAAGAAGAGCTGTTCATACAATACATCCAAACTCTAAAAACAATGGGTCTTATTTTACAACAACAACAAAAATTATATAGTAGATCAGAAGTATTCTTAATTATATTGGTTCAAATATACCAGAAGCAAGCACTCTGTTTCATAAATTTCACTTCCCAAAACAAACTTACAATGCTTAAACTCAAGCCAGCATTGCTGAAAATAAATTTCTGTTTAAAACAAAAAACAACTGAGGTACAGGCCTAGCCTACCACACAGCTGGCTTGAAGTAGAATGCCTGTCTTCAATTATACAGCCACGAAGTGCTCCAAAATTCTTATCATTTTTTAAATGTTTGGGATTATTCATTAGCACAACTTGCTAAGTCTCTGAGGAATGGAATATATGGAAATTAAAAACCTGAAGTCTCATAACTCTCTTTAATCCTCTCTTGTAAATCAAAATGACCAAGAGTGTAGAAGCAATAATTTTTTAAAGACATTGGTAAACCCTAATAAAATGCCCAACCGTAGCAACTAAAGGATTCAAAATCTTGGAGAAGGCTGTAGCTGATTGTGAAATGGATCACTCACGGGTGTCATACGCATATGAGGTGTACTAACTCTGTCTGAATCTAAAAGCACTCGCTCTGCCTGTGAACCTTAGACTGCTGACTACAATCCTGTTTTTAAAAGTCTGTTCTATTGGGCTTTCTGCCATGATTCAAACATGTCAACATCTCACACTTACGGTGATCTTAAGCAATGTGTCCATGAAGCCAATTAAGGATCCACTTAGTAAAGAGGAAAAATATTCTAATTTTTGTAGAAATTTACTCCTATTTGGGAGTTGAAGAATTTATGATTTATGTGTTACTGGGAAACTGTAACCACTTACCCAGAAATAATGACTTTTACTTCTCTATCTTCATTCCAAAATTCTAAGAATATGTAGCAATGATACATTTACTTTTTTACA